TCATTAATGCCAGAAATCAGGCAGTGGCCTGCACTGGTGGAGCCTCGGCAGATGCTAACGAATCATGTGAAGCCATGCATACTTGACATTTATTACATAAAACAATAAGCAGCAAAAACCTCTTGCTGCATAATTACACCATTTAGACAGAGTCAGGATCAGATGAAATGAAAGAGACCTGCAGGAAAAAAGGAATTAGTTGCCATCTGCTTTCCTGGAGGGCCTGCCACCACCCCGGAGAGACATCACACATAATGTGAGACTTTAGGAGCTCGGAATGACACTAATTCTGGCCAATGTTTATCTCCCCTCACTGAGCAGGACTCATAAAGATTTCATGTTACTCAAATGAGCCCTACAGTTCTCGCTCTGATCGTGCTATAGATAGATGTGCTATAGACTCAGCAGGCAATACAGATTAATCTTACCGCATACGTTTTATAGAAATGTATTAAGACAATGTGTCTTCATTTCAGACTTATGGAAAGCTTAGTTTAACACCACGGTGGTATTTCAGCTTAATTTAAATATTTATCAGACTAAAGTTTTAGTATCAACAATTCCCATAAATCATGGGTGAATCTCAATTAGGGGAACTTTACTGTCCACCTTAAAAAAAACATTATACATATATATATATATATATATATATATATATATAAATATATATATGTGGGGGTTTTTTTTACTGACAATAATAATAATTAATTTATATATAAATAAATGTACAATCAATTCATAATATACTTTTATTATTATTATTATTATTATTAAAATCGTTTTAGTTAAGGAATAGCTTTATTGTATCCACAGCTTATCTAAATTTTCTTCCAAAACTGAAACATTTTATTAAAATGTCACATAGCATTACATCACACAGAAAAAAAACATTACAAATCCTCATCTTCACACACACTGCACTAAAATCAAGAAAATCAAGGCCATGATCAGATCCTTATTCTAGGCCATAAACTATAAATGTTGTAACTTCTGAAACATTTTTAGATGAGGTTTCATTTGATAAAATAGTAAAACATATACTACTTGTAATTTGTATATAAACAGGTTAAAAAGATCATCCAACTTTTTTTTATGTTTTTTTACTAAATGTGATTATGTGATATGTTAACATATCACTTATGTGATAATTTATATAGCACAATATTATTAATTTATTTATTATATTGCTCTGTGTTTGTTATTCTGTTATTGTGAAGCACTTTGGGCAACGTCAGTTGTATTAAATTGTGCTATATAAATTAATAAACAAACAAACAAACAAACATAAATACTAATTCTAACATGGTTCTTGTGTATTTCCTTGAATAACATACATGCTATACTTAAAGAAAAGGTCTGATATATTTTTAGTGCAGTAAAAGCATATATAAGGCATTATTTTGGTGCGCTCCTGGCTACAGAGAATTAGAAAATATCAGACTGTCATTGTGATTTGATACTAGGATGAAAAATGTCAAAAGTGGAGATGACAAATCAGCCCAGTGAGGAGAAGTGGCTCTCAGACAGGGGATGTCATTTGTCATGATTGCCATTTGACTGCACTCCCAGTCCCCCTCCTCCACCGGCTTTTCTGCCTACAGATGAATGATACATTGATAGCCATTAATTCTAAATTATCCAAATTTGCCTAACTGCATCTAGCATGTGCGTGGAAATCAAATTTATCAGTGCTTTCCTTTTGCATTCTCCATTTTTTTTTTCCTTCACTCTCCTCTCCTTTGCCTTCCTCGAAGCCTAAACCTTTCTGTGGACAGACGGGGAATTAGATTTGCACTCTGCACAATACACACAGCCAGACCATCAAACCCTAAGCTTGGTGACATTTCCAAATGTTCATCTCCCCTCATTTCAATCGTCCATTTGGAATGAATAAAACGGCCAGGCGACTTGAAAGAATGGCAGCCCCCTGAGCTTCGCTGCATCTATGGCTCATATCTCCACCTCCTCCTCCTCCTCCTCTTCTTCGCATCCCCACCCCCCTTCACCCCCACCCCAACCTTTAGGAAGCCGAGGGGCTTTGTTGGAGGGGGACACAGCTGAGCCTGCCTCACATCCAGAGCCCCTGCATAATACTGGAGGTAATTAAGCCACAGCTTCAAGGTTGCATGGACACAAGACAATTCAGCCTAATGAAGTATCGATCGGCTGCAGCAGAAGTAAAACAAGTTGACATTCATTTAGAGGTACTAGTGAGAATATACCACAATGCCACGAATGACGTAAGGCTTCAATGGCACACGGTTTAATCATATGGAAACAATGTGGTCTAGACTACAATACCTCTTGTTGAGCTACTTTGTCATAAATCAACAATCAGGACCGTGTACGTTTTGGTGCCATCGCGGGGAGTTGGGTTATAAAAAGAAAATCAAAGAAATCTCAGATTTAACCAAAACAATGGATTCCGATGTCTGTCCTCTTAGGCAGATCAAGACTTAGATTGATATCAATCTTGTTAATGGAACAACGGATGTTCGGATTATATCAGACAGTGCTGTATTAGTCAAATTCACAATTATTCCAATTTGAAATGTTCTCCAGAACATTTCCTGACAGACCAAATCATGTTTTTCTCAGAACATGATATTATTGCTCCAATGAGGCCTGATTGAGGTTTGGCTCCACTAAAAAAAAAAAGATCTTATGTCTAATCTGTCCTGAGAAAACCTCTTATAGCAGAAAAAACCCCGAGTGACAACCAGATTTCATCAACAAATCTGACTCATTAAAGAAATTTGATTGACAGATGTTATGATTCACAACATTTGCCCTAGTTCCATGACTGAAAGCTGTAGACCAAGCAGTCGACTACCGCAGGCTAAACTAATGAGTCGATCTCTGAAGACCTTGGACTTGAACGTCTTAGAGAAGCTCCGGAATGGAAGATTAGTCCAAAGATTTTGACTCGAAATGGAATAAGTTTGGGTCCATTAAAACACTATCCACTTCAGTTCTCTATGGATTCAAACATCTCTCTTTTCAGTTCCTCATTAACTAACATGGGATATTACCATTTTAAAATGTCTAATTTCAGAATTCAGAAAAAAAAAAAATCCCTCAATTTAGTTTGATTAAATAAAAATGAGGGGAAAGTAAAACATTGTTTTGCAACAGATTTGCACTGCATGCAATCAATTTAAATTACTAAAATCAAGTACTCAAATCTATGTGTGTTCAAACTACATGATGTTTGGCAATACAGTCTAAAAGAGATTATTTTAAAATCTAAAATCATTCATCTGTCTAGTTTAATTTAATACTTAATGCTAAATAAAAAGTCATTTTCTTTATGGCAGAAAAAACTATAAATATAAAAGTATTTGTTCTACTAGTATTATTGTACAAATTTAAATTAATTTAAAGCAAATCTGCTGAAACAAATGATAAAATGAATTAAATTATAAAAATATAAAAAATACCACCCAATTTAAGTTAAGAATGTTTTTATTTTACTTTTGAGTGTATATTAGGGACATTAGTGAATTATACATTTTACAACAATTGTGTAGAAAGAAAAGGTCTGACAGTCATGTAAACCACATCACCTGCCAACAAAATGCTGATAAGAAACATAATTCACCGCAGCTAATCAATTCATTTTATCCAAAATAAACACAGCTCTGCACTTTACATGTAATTTAAACGGAGCACTCAAAAACACCCACATTTGCAGCTTATCAGCACAATCAAATGCAAACATACGGGAGAGAGCAGAGTTTTTTCCTTAAGTAATTGTCAGTCTTTTAATGGAGTCCACAAATGTCAGTTGCCAATATGTTTTAGCATTAAATGCAGTAGGAAGGATCCAGAAAGGTGGGTTATTCTGCAGAACACAACGCATTGTTAAACAGCTTCAATTATGCCAAATAGCCAGGTTTAGATGCATATTTGCATTGTGTAATATCTACAATCAATGCAGACATGAAAGTCAATTTGACTGGGCCTCATAGGGTGAAACTCACAGTAAGTGAAAACCACTAGCGCTTTACATAAAAGTACAGTGAGTTCCATTTGTCATTGGCACGGTTCAAATATTTTGACATACTTTATGATAATAGCTGCACAAACCGGCTAACAAATCACCAATCATGTGCTAAACATAAAGAAAGGAAAAATGCACCAGTTGGACATTTTATTTTAATGTTGTGCTTTAAATTCGTTCCACTTCCAAAAAGATCACACTGATGCATTACTGTATCGTTGTCAGAAAATGACAGTCAAGTGCCACGGTGTGTTAACATTAGCGCAAGGGCCTTTAAGACATTTACACAAAACACATTCCACCCACAGCAGCAGAATACTGCATAAGTCCAGGTGAGAGATGCTCGAAGTGCAGGTCAGGTGACATGATAAACAGAGAACTGTACATGTTCTCAAATCTCTCTCTTTTACTCTCTCTAGGCACTCATTGCTCATGGCATAGACTGCAAAGATTATATAACATAACATAACTACACACCACATTAAGGATTCAGGTAGAAACCCCTAAAGGCAACATCTCTCTCTAAAAAGATTTCTTATACACATTTATGTGGATATGAATTCAAAATTTGCAGGCCCACAAAACACACTTAGAGCGGGAAAAAAAGAATTAAAAGTCTTTCAGATGCATGGACTAATCAACAAATCACAGACTGTGAAATATAAACCATTTAAACACATTTGATATCACTCTGTACTCAAAAAAACTTTTCTTTTGATACTTTTTGATAGCTTATAGCGATCACAAATCACATAAATTATAAATCAGAGATTGTTTTGACACACATGGAGAAAAAAAGAACCCGCTGTCCAGTTTATGAAAGAAGTCAACATAAATAAAAAATGTTCTCATGGGCAATCATAAATATGGAGAAGTGAGGTGTGAAAATGAATATCTAGTCACCACAAAAAAGAAAGGGGAAAAAAAAAAATAGGGCGCATTGTGCAGGGCAGCTCTCTGCTTGTCTTACTGTGAGTTGTTTGGTATCTTTTCTTACCTGTCACAGACGCAGATGAGTCAGGCCAGGTCCTTAGAGGATTCTTCCGGTACTGAAGACACGCGGGCCATCCAGAGAAACCACACGGCGCACACTTCACTGAAATACAATACATCAGATAATATTACTGTCAAAACATTCACGAGTTTAACTTTAGTCACAGCACGCAAAATGCACAATATTTGCCGTATAAATTTACATGTATTGGATTGTGTACAGCTCTCGATACTATGATCATGTGTATGTATGTCTACAGACAAAAAGTTGTACTCCCCATGGGCCAAGTCTTACTTTAAGTACACTTTCAAATTATTGCTCTTGTAATTAATTATGCAACTAATTCTGTGTTATTGAAATTCGTTTCACAATCTCTGGTCAGACACATAACACAAAGAGTTAAAAGTTTCTTTTTAGCTGTACTTTGCTAGACTGCAATGTCAATTTATGTCATATGAAAAAGTAGGCCAGGAACTATCAATCTAATCCTCATCACTACCCAATCTGCTATGAATAGTGCATGATTAATTCTTCAGTATTAATCATGTACTTTGTTCATATAAAACAAAGCTTAAGCTCTATTTGCTAAGATATTTGACCTTGTGAAAGAGTTAAGACATTACAGCTTGGATTTAAAATGCATCTAAAGATTAAAACTGGTGGTTGACTATTAGAGAGGATTATAGATGAAGGAAAATTATTTTTCATTTTGATGCAAAACTGATTTTGAAGTAAAAAAAAAAAAAAAAAAAAAAATAAGGAGCAGGTGGTACATTATTTTGATAGCAAATAAGGTTATGCAGAAGATGTGTGATCTCTATATATCGTTTTCCCCCCGTCCTTCAATCAGAGCAGTTAAATTAAAGTAATACCTTGCACAAGCAACAAGATTTGTTGTGAATATATGCTTCAGTGCTTCAGGCTATGTGCTACTTCAGAAATCAGCACGGCTTTGATCTTTACTCACTGAAATGAAAAAATCCTTTATGACTATCAAGTAAGTCTCACTTCTTTTTTTTCTTACATTGAATCTTGTTTACCAGTGCAGAAGTGCATGTTTACAGGTGAATGGGAATTACTCTGGAGACACAGAAAAGTTTCGGCTCAGACAAAAATGCATATTTTCACCATTCACGTGCTTTAAAATGCAACCAAGGTCAGTCAAAGATATCCATTTTAGCATTCACACTACCTGAAGCATGTCAGTCTTTTTTCTCTTTTGAAATCAAAAGGTGCACTAGGTACAAGACTACTTGCAACTCTTCATCTCACAAATACAGTTCGCTCAATAAAGCAAAGGTTGGGCAATGACTTTTCTGAATAGCAGGACACAAAAATATAACAAAAACACTTCCCATTTGTATCATTTGATTAACTGCCTTGTATGATCATGTAAGAACAACTAACAATTCACTCTTAAGGACTCCTTTAAAGCAACTATGTCACCATTGGGGATGTGCGAGACTAGATGACTAAACGATCAAGTTTGTACTTATTAAAATCAACTGAATCAATAGGCAGTATGTCTATATTTTCTAACACTGATTAAGTGAATGCTTAAGTTTATGACCATAGTGCACAGCGTAGCGTACAGAAAAATAATTCTGTATGATTAGTCGAATAGTCGGTTACAAAATAACCCATTTAATTGTCAATGAAATTAGTCGTGCCACACATCCCTAGTTGTCAACCATAAGGTCCAAAAGTCTGAGATCACATTGTAAAATCTGGGAATCAAATTTGAACCTGGAAAGTTGTAGGATTTTGAGAAATTTTAAACAGAGAAACACTATAATGTTAAATGAAAAGAAATATTTTAGCATTTAATTATATTTTATATTATCTGCACTATAGGTCATTAATCAAATAAGCAAATTTGTGATAGAGATCCAGTAAATTCCTTTGTGCAAACACCCAGATTCTTGCTTCCATTGAAGCACACAATCAATTAAATCGTGCTTGAGAACATAATCATCAGGTTTTACAGGCCTGGTAAAGCAAAAGGGAGAGACACAAAATACTGAAAAAAGAGATTCTGAAACTATGCTGATAAATAATATAAATTTATAATGGGAAAAAAACAACAACTAGAAAAATGCTAAAAATAAACATTTTTTTAGTATCGTTTTCTTAGGCCATAGGAGACCGATTAGGTAACCGTTCACTGAGGGCACAAGGTTTTACAAATATTTTTACTCAATTACATTAAAATGATCTTGAGTTGATTATGTTTTTAAATCTCTCTTTCACACAACATGGAGGAGGTTAATAGGTCAATAGGTCACATTTCCAGTCTCTGCCAATAAATGCTTAGACAACGTAAAGAGTTTACTTTGTAAAATGATGGATTTCAATCTTGTGATGACAGTATGAGCAGCTGTAAACATATCTAATTTGAAGCAAAGCACTAGAATGCGTTTTTTATGTGGAGGTCCTGAGATCTATTTACTTGATTAAATCTGAGCTCCTAATCCTTCATGAGAGACAATGTTGGTCATGTTTTTGGCATCTGTTGAATTCCACTATTGTTGTTTATTTTATCCACAATACAATATATTACTCTTGCTAGCCAAGAATGCCATTAATTTATTATGGATTTTTCTGATATAATATAATATAATATAATATAATATAATATAATATAATATAATATAATATAATATAATATAATATAAGAAAACATAACATTCAACTTGATTAATTTCTGATTGGAAAAGTTTGATTTTTAAAATAGTTGTTCATAAAATTTAAGTATTGCATAGTATTCCCATATCCAATTAATTCGTTATTAATTGTTTTTGATATTTAGTAACACAATATAAAAAATAATAATTAAATGAAATTTTAAAAAGTAAAAAAACAAAAAAAAACAGGGTAAACTTGATTACTTTTTAAATAGTTCTGATTGGAAAAAGCTTTTAAAGTTGTTATAAACAAAGAAATAAGTAATTCCACATGCCATTAATTTATTATGAATTGTTTTTAATAATTGTTAATAAAAGAAAAAGAAGAAAAAGAAGAAAAAGAATGAAAACTGAACAAATAAAAGTAGAAATAAACAACAGCATAACATTGCAGAGCTTGATTAGTTTATGATTGGAAAAGCTTTTAAAGCCATTCAGTCTCTAAGGTTAAAGTCTTCAGATGTTCTGGGTGCATTTTAATGTCTATGCTTTTAAAATGGGATGGGCAGATGAGAGTTGTAATCCTCTCTCCTCTGGCCTCAGAGGCCCGTTTTGACTCCGTGCATCAACAACAAATGTTGACCTTGCTGTTCAAAACTCAAGGCCTTAAAGGTATATGCAAAAAGCAACATGGACACCTCAAAAGAGGACCGGCTTTTGATGTTGAGGGGCCCGTTTTCAAAGCAAACGGGAGATACCCATAGGCTCAAATTCCATCAAACAGTTTTTCATACATGTAGCTCGTAGGTGTTTATAATTACAAACAAGCGGCATCATGATTAAAACATTGCGAGAGGATCAGAGGCCAGGGAAGACATAATAAAAACAAGAGGGAAGAGAGATGCATTCAGATTTTCTTCAGACATCTCACCCAAACATTCACCTCATCGAGACTAAACATAAACCCTAAAATCCAAAACAATTACTTAAACCGACCAAATCCCAAAGAATGAATAGAAAACACAAAAAAACTCAGGAAAGAGTCATTTTAATTGGTTTCCTCCAGATTCCGCACAGGTATCACTTGAGTGACACCCTGACATGGTAATAATGTCAGTCAATTTAAAAGGGTGCCGCTTCAAAGCGAGGAAGGAAACTTGGGAATAGTCCCATCATCGTCTGTCGGCCTGAGATTTTGTTCCGCGGAAGTCACACGCACAGTCAAATGGTCAAGGGCTGTCGTGTAGAGATTAATGAGGAAGCTCTAGGCACTCTGGGAGGTCAGTGTGACGGGAGGGGATGGGGGTGTGAAAAAGAGCCCTCCAGTACCCCCCCCAAAAAAAACATATGAACACACATTGACTCTAAACGAGAGGACTGATTGGTCTTGAATATGCTCAATCTGACATCGAGTAATTAAGAGAAATTATGTGGTAAGGATTGTTTTCATAATGTCTTCGGGGGCTCTGTCACGGCGCAGTAATGAAGCCTGATGTAATCCAAACCGCTTTCAAATGGCCTGTGACAAATAAAGACTGATGTTACGGCATGGCAGTTTGAGTGCATTGTGGACCATGTTGTTTCGATGATGTAATCATAGACTGAGGATGCTTTTAATTACCAGTTAAATATTTAAATTGGCAATTAAGCCAAATAACGTAAACACCATCAGTCACACTTGATGCGCTGAAATAAATTGCAATAACTGTTATCGCACACAACACCAGCAAGGCTTTTTTTGTGTGATGCATAAACGGGGCTATCGAGAAAATAAATAAACCTGACAGAAAAGACCTCTGACCATTTCTATCTTTCTTTTCTTGTACTGTCATGTCCAATATGGCATTACAGAGAGAGACCTTCACTAGTCTCTTTAGTGCTGATCTCTCTTGATCCCGATGTGTGGTCTAAATGAAAACTCAAACAGATCCATTCTCTCAAGTTCCCTCACAGATGTGAGGATCAATACAGGGACATGTGGGTATCGATCAGTGTAAATGGTAGCAACACTCACAAATTTGCCAAAACAAGACCTTTTTTTCCAGAGGTCCGAGGCCACCGCCACGTGTGCTGTAATGTTTTTACGATGTCTATGGATTTTATTGAGGTAGATTACATAGAATTATGTTGTTCAACTTACAACCAGGACTCTCAGAATGGCAAACCTTTCACTGAGCTTATTGCCGCTGCTCTGGAGGGCAGCTTTTCAGACTGCAATTTAAAAGCAGTATTGAGGATGCCAAATTTGATATGCAATAAACATAAGTGCCATAAAAATAAAGATCTGTTGACCTGGTGTTCTCTAGATTGACAACACCTTGTATGAAAAACTGATGATTTCAAACAATCACCTAAAAACACACGACACAATATATCTCTAATATTTTATCCAATTTTATACACCTACTGTGTTCTATGTGTGTATTTAGGTAATTGTTCAATATAATCCCAACCATATCCTTTATC